GGGAACGCCGCACCTCAGTTTCGAGCTGCAGAGGGAGCAACAGTATCCCTACATTATCGCCTACCAGTAATCCCCACCACCCCGCACATGCCACATTTCCTTGGCAGGACTGTTATAATTCGTTTACTTTGCCTCAATTAATTGCTCTCCAATCCCACAGAGGCGACTCGTCGAGTGAGCTGGGCGTTGCAGGTATCATCTTGATGGCCAGCGCATGGCTCGTCGCGAGCATCAACCTCGTTGTCAAGACTCTCCTGCAGGTGCGCACCACACTCATGGCACGACACACACACAATTGAGAATTCCCTCTCTGACCGTTATGAGTGCCGCAACAGGGCTTCCCCTACGAGGACCTGCCGCTCAACATCGACGTGGGCAGCTTCACTGCGACGCTGACCTACCCGTTGATCATGTCCTGGCTTCTGCCCGTCTACGTCTACAACATCGTGCTCGAGAAGCAGGAGAAGCTGCGCGAGATGATGAAGATGGTACCGTCACTCTCGTCCCTCCCAATGCCACGCCGTGGCCCGCATTCACCACCGAGCTTTTTGTACGATATGCAGATGGGCCTGAAGATGATCAACTACTGGATCGTCACCTTCCTGTACAACGCCATTCTGTACCTTGCGGTGCTCGTCATCGTCTACTGCTTCTCTTACGGCTTCGGTTTCGCCATCTTTACCCAGGGAAGGTACGTGCCCGTGACCGAGCCAACGTGGAGCCGCACTAGAGGCTCCAGTCGCACTTACGCTTCCCTCCCGCTCTATTGCTGCAGCGTGCCAGCAACGTTGTTCCTGTTCCTGCTCTGGGGAAATGCGCAGATCGCCGTGGCGTTCTTCCTCTCTTCGATCTTCAACAGCACCCGCTTTGCCACCAGTACGTGCGAACCATTCCGCTCTCGAGGCTGCGCCGCGAGTCTTTAATCGGTTTCGTGTATTGTGTGTTGTGTGAACAGTCTTCTGCTACTTCCTCGTCATCATCCAAGCCATTCTCTCGTTTGTGATCAACGCCACCGGTACGCGCGCCTTCCTTCTCTTGTGCTGCTGGGCGACTGCTCGGCTGAACATGTACACACACACCACACACACTACACAGTGTTCAAGGACGACAATGCGCCGTTCTTCTGGAATCTGTGGCCGCCCTTCGCCTTTTTCCGAGCCATCTATGTCCTGGGCGCCCAGTGCGGTCGGGGCGAGTGTCCCGAGACGTCGGATTACGACTTCAGCAACGAGATCGTCCACATCTTCCTGTTCCTCATCTTCACCTCCTTCTTCTTCTACCTACTGGCATTGTACGTCGACCTACGCACCTCCCCACCTGGCGTCCGTCAAAAGTGATTCTTGGTTGTGCTTTATTATCATTTATTATTTATTTTACTAATTGTTGGAATTGCTGTGTTCTGTTCTCTGCACGCAGCTACCTGGATGCCGTGCTGCCCAAGCAGTTCGGAGTATCGAAGAAGCCGTGGTTCTTCCTTACCCCCATCATCAAGCTTTTCCGGCGCTCGGCGGGTTCTTCTGCTGTGGGCAGGTATGTTACTCTTCCCTTCTTCACCGTTGCGTTATGCTCGAATGCAGGCATTTTGCCGCCGCCCGATGAGGTCTCACACTCACTCGAGGCGGGCCAGAAGCGTTCAAGCTGACGAAGAGAACCTGGCCCTGTTGGAGCCCAAGAGGAGCGTCACCCAGACTGTTGAAGCTGTACGGCCCCACCACCTTTTGTGAGAGAGCTCTGAGCTATTTGTGATCAAGCGGCCTGACCCGTTCACGCCACCCGCTTTCTCTCGATTGCGCCAGCTGGAGGAGCCGGACGACGTGGCGCGCGAGAGGCAGAAGGTCTACGACGCACAGATCGATGCGGACTGTCCAGTCATCATTCGTGATCTGCGCAAGGAATACGGTGCTCGCTTCGGGTACCTCACCTCGTCGTGGCACGGGCACGTGGAGATGTGGGTAGGTGCAGACTAAACTCCGCGTGGCTACAGTAAGAGCAAGAAGGTGGCGGTGCAGAACCTGACGCTCTCCATGCAGAAGGGTGAATGCTTCGGCCTGCTCGGACCCAACGGAGCTGGTTTGTCGCCCCGCATCCCCACCATCACAACACTTCACCCACGTTTGTCCGCTGACGTCATTGTGTAACCCGTCTCGCAGGCAAGACGACAACGCTGAGCATCCTCACGGGCCTGTTCCCTCCTTCTTCTGGAACCGCACACATTGGAGGCTTCGACATCAGGTGCGACCACGTTCTCGTTTATTATTATTAGAATTATTATCATCATTATTATTGTAATTATTATTATGCTAAAGTCTGCGGGGGAGTGTAGGACGGACATCGACAAGGTCCACCGAGTGATGGGCGTCTGCCCACAGTTCGATACCCTGTGGCTGGATCTCACCTGCGAGGAGACGCTCCTTTTCTACGCCCGTCTCAAGGGAGTCGCTGGCAAGGATGAAAGCGAGCACACCATGCAATCGCTCAACATGGTGCGGACGCGGCAAACATCGTGGCACCGCCGCCACGCCAATCCAAGCACACTCTAATCTGCTAGCCGGTTGTGTCGCTTGACTGACTGATGTCGTGTTCGGGTGCGCACACAACTCTAGGTGGGCCTTCAGGACTTCCCGAAGCGCTTGGTCAAGGACCTCTCAGGAGGCATGCGCCGCCGTCTCTCGGTCGCCGTGTCCCTCGTGGGCAACCCGCGCATCGTCTTCCTCGACGAACCCACCACGTACGGTCTGCGCCAACCAGTTTTGCTCAGTGATTGGATGCTCACCGCCCCCGGCCGGTTGTGCGCAGTGGTCTGGACCCGGAGAGCAGGCGACACTTGTGGGACGTCCTGGCGCAGGTCAAGACCGACCGGTGCATGATCCTTACCACGCACAGCATGGAAGAAGCCGACGTGCTCTGCACGACGATTGGCATAATGTCCAACGGATGGTACCTACTCACCTCCAGCCCACTGTTACTTCTATGCAATGGTGACACGAGCTGACATGAGCCCGTGCGAATAGCTTGCGCTGCGTGGGGCCGCAGCAAGATCTGAAGACGAGGTTTGGCCAGGGCTACACGCTGACTTTGAACTACCCTCCGGAGGCCGAGAACCAAGTGACCGCCTTTGTGCGCGAACTGCTGCCGAGCGCATCGCTGGTTGAGAAGTACGCCCGCACGCGCCACGCGCCACGTCTGCTTGTGCGCTACACGCTCCATTTGTTTATTTATTATTTTTTTTTGCACCATCAGGTTTGCTGGCAACGCTACCTACCAGATCCCGTCCACGAACCTCGTGATCTCCGAGCTCTTCGAAGTCATGGAGGAGAAGAAGGACGAAGCTGATATCCTTTTCCAACCACTCCTGTCCCCTCTGCCTTTTATGCTTTCTCTCTTTCTTGCCTCTTCCTCCGTATACGTAATTGTTTCCTTAACCGGCCTCGTAAGTATCACAGACTGGGGCATCAGCCAGACCAGCCTCGAGGACGTCTTCCTGACAATCGTGCGCAACGACGAAGGCGGCATCGGCTTCACGTCGTGAGCGGCCGGCCGTGTGGCGCACGACCAGAGCCGAGCGACTTTACCTGCCCGCTCTGTTCTATACAAAAAAACATCTTTTTAGCTTTAGGTAGGGTGGTCGACACGCACAAAGGGACAGTGACCAGTCTTTCCCCTCTGCTCCTTGCGGCTTTTCTTTGGCTTACGCCACGTCGTGTTCGGCACGCGCTGAACCATTTCCGCAACCTCAACCAATCTCGAGTTTCTCGGCCACCACGGTGGTTGCTGAGTTTCTGAGCAGAAGAAGGAACACCAAGGAGACGCGATGAGCGTTGGCGTCGCTTCCCCAGTTGTTCTGGGGAGCAGTCGCGTCGTTGCTGCTGTTCTTTCTCCTCTGTCTCCCCTTGTCATATCACTTCACCACCGCCGCAGCACGCACCATGGCTGAGAGTGGTGGGCCACGGGATAATAGGGATGACGTTGCGTACAGAACCTTCATACATCAACGTCTCGCACCGGAGGGCAGAGCAGGCCAGGATATTACCCCGTTCGCCTTGGTAATGCACTGGGCACGCTGGCTTTACGAGGAGTACCTCCCCCAGGGCCGAGTCCTGCGCTTCCTCGCATCGAACATGGCCCTCTTTGCAGTGGGCTGTGTGCTGCTCTACATGACTCCGGGTACCTTCATCCCGACGCCCTCCCGGCTGAACGGGGGCGGCACCGTCTGGGTCTTCACCGGCTCCGAGCTGGCGTTCCTCCTCGCGAGCGTCTGCTTCTCCATGATCTGCCTCGTTGATCTCAGCGTCGTCATCTCTACCGAGAATCCTCTCAAGCGGCAACTCGTATGGGTCATCTTCTGCATCAATTTACAAGCTGCCCTGTACAGTCACCCCTCCCCCAAGATTCCTTCCACAATACTCGTGACCTCACTGGGTACGCCCACCAGCACGTACACTACCCTGTCCTGGGACTGCATGCCAGTCTTCGCGGACGGGAACGGGCGACCGCTCTACGCGGTGCGCTGGCTCATGTGGGCGTGCTCCACCGCGAGCCTCATCTTCATGATAAGCGAGCTAGCCCAGGCGGAGACCGTGTCCCTGCCCACGGTCATCGCCAGCGACGTCGGTGGCCTCCTCCTCGGCTTCTTTTCTACGTGCGGCCACACCCTGGGCTGGGTGCTCTTCGGTGCAGGCTGCATCGTGTACATGCCGACCGTATGGGGCATGTACCGCCTCTTCGCCGCCGGTACACTCCACTCGTCTCCACGTCTTGTCCCTGAACATGGCACTGATGCTGAGGGGGTTGGGTCGGTCCAGGCTCGAGCAAGTTGATATCGAGAGAGAACACGCGCTACTTCCAAGCCCTCGGGTACTTCACGATCTTCCTTTGGTCGGCCTTCCCCTGCGTCCACATCCTTGCCAAACTGCAGCTCTTTTCCCCGGACCTAGGTACAGATGCCGAGTGCGTGTGTGTGTCGTGTGTGGGGGGGCACTAGAACTCACACAGCAGCATTGTGCAGAAGCGGCGCTCTATTTCGTGCTGGACCTCGGTGCGAAGGGGGCCTACTCGCTGGCCCTGCTGCGGAGCAACTACTACTCGATCGATCAATTGGATGAGGTCAAGCGCCTCGGATCCGAGGTAAGTGGTGCAATGCGCAATTGATATCAAATGCACACGCGGGATCAGATTCCTGAAGCTCTTCATCTCTCTGCCGTGCCCGTGTAGGAAATACTCTGCAAGGCCCTGGCCACCACCAGGGAGATCGAGCTGGCCGGCCGTATCCTTCTTACGGCCAAATCCGAGGCTGGATCTGTAAAGCAACTGTACGACCCTCTCTGGCTCGAGTTGGCTCCTTCCCAAGCAGGTCACTAACCAAAACATTGACGAACGACACCCAACAGACACCGGTCCTTCCTTTCACACATGAGCCACGAGCTCCGCACACCGCTCAACCACATGATCGGGTTCAACGAGCTGCTTATCGAGGACACCGGGCTCAGCGCAATGCAGCAGACCTACATCGCCGCTGCGCTCAATTCAGCCAAGGGCCTCCTGTCGATGATTGACAACATTCTTGAGTACTCGCGACTCGAGGGCTCCGTTATCCCGCTGGACACCATTGACTTCGACCTCTATGACGTGCTCGATGACGTCATCGACGCTCTGCGCAAGCAGGCCGTCTCCTATGGTACTTCTGCGCCTGCGTCAGCCGGCCGGGCTTCAATGACTGATCATTGGTGCGTGGGTCGCAACATGTAGGTGTCGACATTGTATATCGACTCGAGCTGAAGGGCATCTCGGCGAGCAAGCTGGTCGGCGATCCCCACAGGCTGGGCCAAATGATCAAGCACCTGGTAGACAATGCCATCAAGTCCTACGACGGCCAGCGGAAAGGAGCCGGACCCAGCGGCGACGGGGTCAACACCGTGGAGATCCGAGTGCGCGTGGTCAACAAACAACTGTGGAGCAGGAGGGACGACAACCACCTAGCGGGGCTGGCCAGGTGGAACGAAGTGTCGCGTCGCGACGGACTGCAAGTCGGTACACTGACGGTTGAGGTTGAGGACCACGGAAAGGGCATTCCCGACAAGGAGATGAAAAAGCTCTTCACCCCCTTCGGCCAGGTCGAGGCCCGCGGCAAGAGCGACGGCATCGGTACGCAGGAACAGCGCCGTATGCGTGCAACAACTCCCGCTGACAGTGCTGTTTGTGCGAGCAGGCTTGGGACTGGCGATCGTGAAGCAGCTGGCTGACGCAATGGGAGGGCGGGTAAGCTGTACCAGCGCCGAGGGCGTCGGGTCCACCTTCTTCATCCACAACCTCACCATGCCCGTCAGCACCAAGCACACCCCGCATCACTACAACCTGGTGCGTGATGACCCTCACCAACAACAACTTCTGTACTCACCGGCGCATTTCACACGCAGGACGAAGAATCGGTGCTGATCGTCGCCAAGCCACCGCTGCTGCACGGGCTGGCGCACCAGCTGCACAGCCTGTGGATCTCCCCCAAAGTTGTCGATGCGTCCTGCCCGGAGGAGTTCGCCGAGTGGTTGGCGGACTCGACGGCCAGCAGCAGCAGCGTAACGAGTGTGTCGGGTCGTGCGGTGGCCCATCAGCACCCTCGGCCAGAGAATGAGGTGCTGATCATCGACGCGCAGCTCCTTCCGCAGGTACGGCTGGCCAAGCTGCCCTACAAGCGGGTGATCACGCTCTCCCCGCCGAGCAAGGTCAAGGAAACCGTCACGGACGGACCCACGCGGGCCCTGGTCCCGGAGGACCTGATGCGGCCGGTCACCAGGCGCACGCTGCGCGACGTACTCGTGGCGGTCACCGGCGAACGGGAGGGGTCGTCGGGCGCGACCCCGCCGCTTGCGGTCCGGGCCGGGCTCCAGCAACAACAGCAGGCCGAGGGCGAAGCCCGTCAGGCCTCGAGGTGCCCGTTTCTCGTGCTCGTTGTCGACGACAATAAGGTCAATCTGAAGGTACGCCCCACGCTCTTCTCCGTGATCGTGACTCTTCTGTATCTGTAAGCTGTAAGCAGAGAAGGAACGGCCGCTGACGACTACGAAACGACTTATAGGTCGTGGGCGCCATGCTGCGGCGCTTGTCGGTGCCCTTCGAGACGGCCAACGACGGCATCGAGGCCATCGAACAGATCTGCAAGACGCGCTACGATCTCGTGCTGATGGACCTGAGCATGCCCAGGGTGCGTAGCTGAACCTCCTCCTAATCGGCACCGACTAACCTCGTCGTCGCTGCTGCGCACAGATGGGCGGATTGGAGGCGACGCGCATCGTGCGCACGATTGAGAAGAGCACGCACGAACCGCCGGTCGATATTGTGGCAATGACGGCGGCCACGAGCAAGGAGGACGAGGAGGAGTGCATGCGCTCGGGCTTCACGCTCTACCTGCCCAAGCCGGTGAAGTACGGCGCGGTGAAGGACCTGATCGAGGGCAAGCAGCAGGAGAAGCAGCGGAGGATGCGCGAGCAGGAAGAGTTCCCAAGACCGACGAATGCCCTCGAGGGTCGCGAGGAGGGGGAGGAGAACTCAAGGTCTTCGTCGTAACAGAACGAAGCCGCCGCCGCCGATTCATTGCACGACACATCGAAGACGAAGACGCGACGAGAGAGAGGAGCGAGAAGGCAGTGAAACTGTACAGATGGAATCGTTCATCTGGCTATCAAGAGTTGATAGCCAGCGAACCAGAAGAAGGAACGAGCGCCATGCGCGTCACATATCAGGCAGCACTTCGTCATCTGGACCACACAACGACAGTGGAAGAAGAGGGTGAGTCTGAGCTGTGTAGAGGAAGGGTGTTGAGGAGAAGGGCGACCTCGAATGAGGACCCACACGTGAGCGTCCTCCTTGAGCACATCGCGAACGATGCCGTTCATGTCCAGCACCGACCCGTCTTCACCCTTTATAGCCTTCGGCGTACCTGCAGCCATTACAAATCAGTTAATAAACCATAAACAAAATCAACTTGGAGATGAAGGCGTAGGCGCACCTAGCTCCATGCCGTTGTTGTTGTCATATCGAGCTATGCCTGTGCATTTATACAAATACAAAATGAATCAGTAACTTGTCTGCGATTTGTGACATCCCTTACAGATGTACCAACGTGGCCCAGCCATTTGAGTCGTTGCGTTCCTGGACCACACTGCACCTGCACCACCTTCTCCCTCACGTGCACGATCACTTTCATCTCCCGCAGCGTGAACAAGAAATAAAGAAATAAAAATAGTAAAAAGCAGAAAAAAAGATATTTCTTTACATCCACACATGCAGAGAACGTTGAGGGTGGGCACTGCAGCTGCAGTTCGCTTGGGCGCTTCTTCCGGGACCTGTGCTCGAACGCTGCATGCTTCAGCGGCCGTCGGTCAGTCGGCAGCCTCTACGAACCCAGAAGCGGTGCAGGTGGCATTGATCCAGTTCCACAGCGCCTCTGCCAACCCCGATGAGAATCAGGCCAAGGCCGAGGGCTTCGTGCGCGAGGCCGCCCGCAATGGCGCTCAGTTCATCCTTCTCCCAGAGCTCTACCGGTACTTCAATCGCAGTATTTATTTTTATTTGCTTATTTATAAATAAATTAAAATATTAAATAATTGCAATACAAGTGTTAAGATTTAATCAATAATACCAGGACCATGCTTCCGCGAGAGCAGATGCCCCAGTACGCCGAGTCCATACCGGACGGACCCACCTCACGCCGCTGGGCCGGCTTAGCTAAAGAGCTCGGCGTGTGGCTGCTGGGCGGTTCCATGATCGAGCCCGTGGAGGGCCAGCCAGGCAAGCTCTACAACACCGCCGTGCTCTTCTCCGATTCGGGTACGTACCGTACAGCACACTGTCTTCACATTCACCCGAAAAACAAGCAGGGCAGGTATCACCACATAGTACTTACACGTCTGCTCGCTTCTACATGTTCCGTTTATGCTTCATCATGAAGGCGATCTGGCGGCGCGGTATCGTAAGATTCACCTGTTCGACGTCTGTGTGCCTGGCGTCGTCGATTTCCAGGAGTCGGCGCTCATTTCGTCAGGCAAAGAGGTTCGTCTCATTCTCCTGAGAAGGCGCACTCCTCTTCACTGCTGAGATGTGTACCTTGGCCTGTGCGTGACAACACATGTTAGACGACAACGGTCGCTTCGCCGTTCGGCAAGCTGGGCCTCTCGGTGTGCTACGACCTTCGCTTCCCGGAACTCTTCCGCCACCTGGCCAAGCAGGGAATGGACATTCTGTGCCTCCCCGCCGCATTCAAGTAACCACCCCTCCCCACTCTTCTTCTTCTTCGTCTTCTTCGAAATTGGCATTGGCTTGGTCGCTGTGGCTGACTTCTCTCACAGCTATGGCACGGGGCAGAAGCACTGGCTGCACCTGCTCAAGGCGCGAGCTATCGAGAATCAATGCTTCGTGCTCGCTCCGAACCAGGTCGGGGAGGCGCCCAACAAGTTCAAGTCCTGGGGCCACTCACTGATCCTCGACCCATGGGGCGATGTACGCCACACCCTCTTCCATCGTCACCTCAGTCTTCTTCCTCTCATGTTCACTGCAACGACGTACGATCAGATCGTGGCCGAGGGCGGTGATGGCGAGGAGATCGTGTATGGCAAGCTGGACCTGTCCCTCTTGGGCAAGTACCGAGAAGCTCTGCCCTCGCTCAAGCACATCCGGAAGGACATCTTCCACGTCTGATGATGGTGATGATCATTACCATCATGGTCGGTCCAGTTCACTGAAGAAGCTCCTGTTGGTCTTTTGTTCAACTTTTAAGTTACAACACGACGTGTGGCGGCCAGTTGTGCGAACACAACACGACACAGGACACGAAGACAATGCTGGGGCTGAAGAAGAACAAGAAGGATAAGGACGGAAAGAGGAAGAGCGAGAAGAAGGAGAAGAAGGGAAAGGACAAGAAAAGTGTCGGCAGTAGTGAGGACGTTGCCGCGCCGGTCTACTCGACCAAGGCCCAGCGCACCCTCCTCGTCATCGACTCCGAATCCCGGGACTGGGCGCCCCTCTTCAGTCCCGTTCAAGGTTCGATCTTGTTCATTAATCTCTTCAAATTCCACTTAATCCCTTTCCAATTACTTTTTATTATTACAACTTTAAAAATAAATTTTCAAAACAGTATGAACACTATTAAATTAAAATGACAAATTAATTGGTGTAAAATAGGGCTCAAGGTGGAACAGTGCGGATGGAAGGATATGATCGTGCAGGCGGAGAGCAACGGCCAGGCTCTTGTCAACTTCCTCACCGCTACGAAGGTCAGTGACCCTTTCATCGTTCGTGCCTCTGTGTTCCTGATCCTCGCCTCACCGTTTTTCTTCTTCTTGTCGTGATCATCGAGCAGGAGACTAAAGTGTGCCAACCCGGTATGCACCGCTTCGCTCTTTGCCGTCGCTTTCGCTCTTTGCCTTCACCTCGTTTTTGCTTGGCGAGGCTGACTTTCTGGGTAAACCGTTCTCGTGGTCGTCGGTGGTACAGACTTCGTGCTGGTGAGACAGCTCGTGCGCGGGTTGTGCGAGGACGAGCTCTACACCAACGCCCTCTACGGACTCCTCTTTGCTGGGTGCAGCCATGCTCCCACCTCCCACTCACATGCGCGTTCACAAGCACTCAAACACACACAACACACAACACACAACACACAACACACAATACACGCCCGTCCATAGGATTCCCGCAGTCAACTCAATCGACAGCATCCATCAGGGACTTGAGAGGCCGGCCGTCTACGCCGCGCTGCGAGGAGTCCAAAAAACGCTGGTACGCGACCATCGCACACCGCTGTGTCTAGGGCTCACCACCTAACGTTCTTGTCGTGTGTCGTGTGGTGATTCGTCAATGCAGGGCAAAGACAAATTTCCTCTGATCCCCATGAGCTACTACTCGCACGCCAAAGGTACTTTGCTGTTGCCCCCTTGGCAGGCAGGCAGGCAGGCAGCTGCTCCGTGTAGTCCATTGGTTCAGTGGCGCTGACGCCGCAGCTTCTGTGTGTGTCAGCGATGCGCTTCACCCCCGATTTTCCCCTGGTGGCCAAGATCGGGTCGGCCGAGGCCGGCTACGGCAAGATGCGCTTCCAGACCTCTGACGACTTTGGCGACTTCCGAGGGTACACAGCACGACACGCACGACACACTACTCACACATGGGCTGACCATTTGGTTTGTTTTTTAGAGTGGTGGCGCTCCACAAGGACTACGTGACGCTGGAGAAGCTCATCGAGGATCGGGAGTACGACATCCGCGTGCAGAAGGTCGGCACGCACCTGCGGGCGTACAAGCGCATGAACTCCAACTGGAAGGGCAACGTGGGCACGTGCGTCCTTGAGGAGATCGAGGTGACCGACACCTTCCGCGAGTGGGCCGAAGAGTGCGGCAAGCTGTTCGGCGGCATGGACATCCTCACGGTCGTACGTTCCCCCCCCCACGCGTGTGCGTGTGCGTGTGCGTGGCGTGTGCGGTTGCTCAAACGTGGACGGGTGGCTGTGCAGGATGCAATCCACAGCAAGGACGGCAAGGACTACATTCTGGAGATCAATGACACGGCAAGTGGCTTCGCGCCCGCCAACATGGAAGAGGACATGCGCCACGTGCGCGACCTCGTCCTTCAGCGCATGCACGAAGCCTACCCCGATGACTGATGAAGGGCCGCCCTCCTCAAATGTTTCCCCTTAGTTTGTTTGTTGTTTTGGACGTTGACGATGTATTTACATGGAGGTTTGTTGGGCTTCGGTTTGGTGGGCTGCCCCAGCAATTTGGGACCTGGATTAACAAATCGCGTCGTTTCCAAGGCCTCTTGCAGGGTGTGCAAAAGAGGGTCGAAAGTTATGGGCTAAGACCAACTTCACATGTTGTCATAGAGGCCGTGTCCATCGGCATCGTGCAGAACATCTGCATTGGCTCACAACCGTGAGAACCACCCACTGCAACAGCGTCAGGTCGTTGGGAAGAGGGTGGTGACCTTTGAGAATGAGAATCCAGTCGGTGAGCCACCAGGCGACGGAGCCGAGGGCGATGCAGCACGTGAGGCAGTTGCCCGCCGTGATGCACAGATAGGCGCCCGTGCTCCCATCTAAGGAATCTATTGTGGCATACTCGTCGCCGACTAGCGTGTAGCGCCTCCAGCCCATCAACGTGGAGGACCAGTTGGCGATGCAGGCCGGCACGAAGCCGAACACACTGAGGAACAGCTTCACCACCCCCAGCTGGAGTCGCGCCACACGTCGAACGATCGGCGATGTTAGAGTTCTCCTGAGCGATGTTGAAAGGGGGGAAGAGGGGGGAGGGGGCGACGGACGCCGATGTAGCCGAGGTAGAAGCGATCGACCGCCAGGCCGCCCAGGAGAATCGACAGAAGGAATGCGGTGAGCTTGTTCTTGCGCTTGTGTTGGCAGTATGCCCCTGCGCGTAGCAGAGCGTAAGCTTCACCCAAGCCAAACAACAAGACGATGGTCACATCGCCCTGGCGCACCAGCATAGCGCTCATCACAGCGGCACACGCCGCGTTGGCCTCCAATGGGCACGCATTGGCCGTTATTGTTGCAGTCTTGGTCGGTGTCGCACCGGCCGCCACCGCCATCGCCACTCTCGAGCATCTCGTCGTCATCGTGCTCACTGCAAGCGACATTGCCAATGAACAGCGAGATGACCAGCAGGACCAGCAGCAATGCCCAACACTTCTTCATCACCACCCAAAACCTGGCTCTGTAGTTGTACGGTTGTATTGAGGGAACTGAAGGACAGGCTCGCGAGTCCAGAGTTCACTGCTTGGAGCGGCTGTCATGGCCGTCAACGAGAATGAAATGCCAACGCCAACCGGACGCCTCTGGCTGACTTCCCGCGTGAGAGTCATAGAGCACCACGCTGATGCCGTTGCACCTCAACAGACCAACCATGATGTTGAGTTGATCGTTGTTGTTTTCGGGTTGATATGTACAAGAAGAAGAGTGTTGGGGGGGAGAGGGAGGCGAGATCACGCTCGAGAGGCGAGAGCAATGCCTTTGAGTTGCTCGTAGCAGCACCAGAAGACGACCAACCACGGGCCGCTCCGCATGAACGTTGGCAGGGTCCCTTATAGTTGAGAGGCGGTGGATGATGATGAAGGAAAGGTGAAGTGAGCCTATATTGAGCGTTATTTGAATTGTGGGTGGGTAGGTGGGGGTGATGTACCCTTCCACAGGGCCAACACGCCCTCCTGCCTGGTGGTCTTGAGCAGACAATCGAACGAATTGGCGTAGAGGGTGCCGGTCATGCGGTCGCCCACGCGCTGGAGTGGCTGGTGCATGATCCGCGACTTGATGACGTCGATCGGTTGCGATCCTAAAGACGACACCACTACCGAGAGCGAGAAGAGAAGGTTGGGTGAGATGAAGCCAGAAGGAGAAGCGGAGCGAGTTGTGAACGTACTTCCGCTGAAGAAGCTCGCGAGGAAGTGGGTCCCCACTCCGTCCTCTCGCGCGCAGTGCGTTATCAGCACTCGCTTGGCCAAGTCGTACGTGGGAAGTGTGAGAATACCAATCATGACCGCCCTGCACCACACACACATTCACACACACACACACACACACAATGTCAACACTGAGAAAGGCGTGGGACAAGGGTGGAAGTAGTACCGTTGCGCAGTTGGTATCCAGCCCTTGTAGAGGCCCGTCAGGCCCTCCTTGCGAATGATGGTGGTCACGGCCGAGGGCAGCGACGGATAGGCCCGTCGCTCCTGCATCATGCCCTCGCCCTGCATTCGCACCTTGATGAGGTCGGTCGGGCTGGCCACCGCCGCCGAGAGCCCTCCCGCCGCCGCGCCAGAGAGGACCGATACGGCCATCGATGGCTGCGCCTGAGAGACAACAAGTCAGCCCAACAGGTCGTGTGCGGCGTGTGCTGCCTGCACGTCCGTGTGCGTGTGCGTGTGCGGTGCGTGCGGTGAGCAACCTTGGAGCCTTTGGTGGTGTGGCCGGGACCGAAGCGCGCTTTGAAGGTCTCGTAGAGGGTGATCTTGAGTGTGCCGTAGATGGCCTGGCGCAGCAGCGCCGCCTCCATGCCCGAGAACACCACGCGCAGCCCGCCTTGTCTCACTCCCTGCCGCACCGCCTCGCCCAGCCCCAGCCATTTGCCCCTGCGCACATGCAGACACCATCAGCTTTACTCGAAGAAGCAGAAGAAGAAGACAAATATGAAGCTAATATTATCATTAGGAGAGAGGACGCCGCACCCAGTGTTGTAGTGCAGCTGCTGCCTCGTCTTGGCCCAATCTAAAGTAAGTAGCGAGAGTCAGGCATGGATGAGAGGAGGAGTGAGGAGTGCAGGGAGAAAGGCTCGGGTACCGAGGGGGTAGGTGAGGGCTTCAGCAGAGCATGACGCTACGCCGCCTATCAGGGCGATATTGGCCCAGGAGAGGGGGCGGGCAGGAGGTGCACCAGTAATCTTGATGGGCGGAGGAGCTGCCGTAGCCGCTGTCGTGGGCTGCTGGCACGCCATGCAAAATGCTGCAGGAAAGATGAGGAAGAAAGATTGGCCGGGTTGTTCTTGCGCTTGGGCGAGGAGAGTGAGAAGCAGTCCGGGCGTGGCGAGTTGTATAGGCAAGATGGAGAAAGAGAGCTAAAGATGAAGGTCCCAAGCTCGCCCACCCAAGCACTGAAATCCTAAAACTGTTGGGCTTCCCGCTCGGAGTCTTTCGTTATCTTCATTGGGATTGGACGATGCTAACCGCTCATGCCCCTTCATGAAACAGCATGCGAGATGAAGGTGTAGTGTTCCCTTGTGTGATGCCTCTCGGGCGCCACCTTCCACTTCTTCTTTCTCTTTCTTCTTTCTCTTCTTGTGGCCGTAGGGGTGTATCGTTTCCATCGCGCGGGCCCGGCTGAGTGGGGTGTGGTGTACAGAAAATGAAGCAAACAAAAACGTGTGTGTGTGGTGATCGCGATAGCGTGGCTCTTCGCCGCGCCAACTCTCCTCCTTCTCCTCTTCTACTGATTCTTCTTTGGCGTCTTCTTCGTGTTCTGCTGCGGACACGACATGATTTAGAAGAGAATGAAAGTTAGGCCCTTGCTTCAAGCCACAAAGTACTCGGGACTGAGTACCTCGCTGGATGCACGCTTTTGGTGCGTGGTGTGCTTCTCGCCTCCGCTGCAGGCCTCCTTGTTGGCCAAGAGTTCGGCGTTTGCTTCCTTTTCTCTGATATCATCGAGCGCTTGGAGGCTTTGGGACGTGATCGATCGCCACATGATCTTCACGATGATGGAGAACCACCAAGTCTGTGAAGACAGAGGACGACAACAACGTGAGCACCGAGTCGCATGTGCGCGTGCACATGTGGGTGGTGAGGGCGAGCACATACGTTGAGACAGAGAAGAATGAGCAGGAGGATGTTGAAGGGTGCCCATCCGTCGGCGTTGTCATAGCCCGAAGCAATGAGCCCGTCGATGGCCGTCGTTCGCATCACCACGAACGGGAAATAGACCAGTCGGAAGAAGAACCTGGAGGAAAGCGAATCACCCCCAAGCAAGAACGTTAGGCCAACACGACACTGGGCACCAAGCGGGTAGGGAGGAGAGCAAGATGAGCCGGCGTACCAGGAGACAGGGATCATGCCGAAGCCAATGTAGTACACAGCCGCGGGATAGTCGACCTTACCGCCGGACTTGACGATCTTGAGGATCTTAGCCGAGTAGAGGAATGTGTCGCACACGTCCATGCTGAACATCACCAGCATGCCGACGCGGAAGTAACTGTCCAGCGATGGTGGTGCGAGTGTCAGTAGTGCACTGGCCTGATGTAGCCATCATCGCCAAATGCAACAGGAAAATGGTGTACCCGACGACGTAGGCACCGTAGAGGAGAGACAGCGTCACAACGTGATGCACGATCATGATGGCGAAATCGCTCTTCTTCGTGTCGAGGAAGAAGTGGGTATAAACGCCGTGCAAGTACCACCCAATCTGCAGTGAGTAGTAGAAGCTGATCTCATACCTGGCACACAGAAGGTACTGTCAGGCGAGTGGTGCCGTGGCGCCAATCCTGCTTCGGGAGATGGAAGATGGCGTACTCATTGGCCTGGCGAGGGAAGTTGTCGAGGAAGCTGACGATGGGGTTCCAAAACCAATCTTGCTTGAACAGGTAGGCGGCATTGTAGGACCACCCCCAAGTGTAGAACCCCACCTGCATGATGGCCTCCTCCAGTTTGGTATAATTGGAAGCCTTGAGGTTCAGGGGCTTGCCCAATGGCTGTACCATGCACAGGATTTAACTCGATTAATTGGCACTCTGTTGCGGGATCTGCAGAACAATCGGCAAAAAAAAATCGATGTGATGTTGCGATGAAGCGTACCTTGACGACCCAGCGAGCAACCGCAAGGCGAAGGAAGGTAAAGAAGACGGCAAACCCCAGCATGCGAAGGTAGAACGCCGAATCACCAAACCACGAATCGCGATGGATCATCTTGTAGTAGCCATGGGGGACGACGCGTCCGGCAAAGATTTCTACCGTGGAGAACACGTGCGGCGATGAAGCCATGCTGGGGCTATGGACTACCAGAAAGAGGCTTGCGATTTGTTGAACAAAACAATAAAAGAGCAATCTAATCGATAGTCAAAAAGTGAATCACGCAGCTGTCGCACCTCTTCTGCGCCGGAGGTTTCAAATGTCGACAGTTGGTCGGCGGATTCGAACTCCCACACTCCGGGTAATCGGAACGACCGCATTTAGCAAACAGCCAACAACCCCACTTCCTCACGGCATCATCGCGATGACCAGCGAGCTGCTCGAGGGCGAGGGTCCGCAGCAGAAGCGCGTGCGCGACGCCGTGGTGCTGATCCTGAGCTGCGCGCAGCACCTGAACACGCTCATTACGCCGTGCCCTCCAGATGGCGCGGCGTTAGCAGAAGAGGACCCACCTCAACAAGGGCGGCCAACTCGAGCTGGACCGATGGTCGATGGTCGTAAGAGATCCGTGTGGATTGAGACTGAAGCGGCTCATGCAGAAGCTCGTGCGGGAATCAATGGTAGCTGTGTGCGAGTAAAGGCACTGGTGTACATTGCCAGCAAGCTAGGCGGGCAAGAGGTAGGCTGTATTGGGCACGGCGGGGAGGGCGTGCAGCCAGGCGGCAGCAGTCAGCGCGAGAGCGGACGTGATGGGGATGAGGAAGTTGTCATCGGTGGGGAAGGGACGCGGCCGATGCGCGGGCGTGAGGAGCTCGGTGAGACCCGGCACCAGAGCGCCGATGGCCGTCACCACCAGTCGTTCGTAGGGCGTGGGCGTCACGTAGAGCAGGTCCAGCCCGTACCACGTCAGCAATCCGCACACCAGCCCACCCAGGAGCGCGCCGCACAGCGACTTGCCATTCTTCAAGCTCCAGGGTCCGCGTCCGCACAGGATACTATCAATGGTTGTCAATGCAAAATCGTCAAAGATTAAATCCAAGCAGGGGATATGGGACGTACCCAGCGGCAGAGGCAACGGGATCGCCGCAGCTGAGATAGGCCAGCGAGAGGACGGCGATGGGCTTGGGGAAGAGCAGGACCACGACGAAGGCGCCCATGAAGAAGTAGAACGAGCCTGAAAGGCCACTGGCCTCGTGACTGCGCAGCAAGGGACCCATTACCTTCAATCCGATGTTGTTGAGGGCGGCACTGCGCTGCCGGGCAAGCTCGAAGATGGCGAAGAGCGAGAAGAGAACGCCAAGGCCAATCGTCCCCTCCGTCCAGCTGAGCCAGCCGCCGTAGCCCACCGCGAGCCCAAGACCACCCACGACGTGCCACACCTTGCGCAGGACGTGGAAATCGGTGGTTGCGGCCAGAACCACTGCGTCGTGCACCTTCTGCTTGGGGCTCTTGGCATTGCCAGTGTTGCCCTTCACACCGGCCTGTCCTTTCCTTGCTTTCATCTTGTCAAGATCAACGTTTGCAATAAAAAAATTGATTTATGAAATATAAAATAAAAATAGTGCACAAGTCGTGTGAATGTACATTGCAGGTGTTCTGTGCTCAAGAGAGTGTGGCTGTCGGTCAGTCGCGTTCAAAGATGACGTGAGCTAGCGCATAGGAATGCTCGTGGGAGATGGCCAGGTGCGTTCGTGTGATGCCAAGTTCCCCAGCCAGCTTCCTAGTCTTACCCTCGAGCACAAGGATCGGGCGCCCTGGGTTGAACAAACGTCTTCGATGTCAGCGCGCCCATCCTACTACATAGAGCGATGAGAGCAAGCAGTGAGCTCGTCGGGCGGTAGATTGGACGTACCTGTTGGTTCGTTGGCGACCTTCATTTCTGTAAACAGCACCTCGCCTCGACCACGGCCGAACGCCTTGAACGCCGCCTCCTTCGCCGCCCACCTGCAACCAGTAGTTTCAATCAATGGATTTGTTGGTTGTACAACAAGTGGTTGGGGGCAAAGGGCGTACCTCGAGGCGAGGTAGAGAACAGCGGGCTGTGCCGGGCGCGAACGGAGGTGGAAGATGGAGAGTTCATCCGCGTGCAGCACCTTGCGCAGCAAGCGTGGACCCCAGCGCCCGAGTGCAGCCTCCATGCGAGGCACATGCAGCAGGTCGCATCCAAGCCCGACCACCCCCATGACCCTCGTCTGGCCCAAGCAGAAATAACAAGATCGGAAAAACAAAAGAAAATACTTTAATCTTCATTTTCAGTTGTGCATGAGAAGAGCGATTGGAGTAGGCCGTAGATTGGACGTACTGAGTCGCCAGCTGATTTGCCCATCGGCAGCAGCAACATCCTCGTCCAGTACTTTGCTTTTGACTTCTTCCCCCGCTTCATCTACACTCGCACAGCGGCAGTTCACCTCGCGCCCCCCTGTAAGAATGGCATCTGACGGCGACAAGCACGGCGCCACCGCCGCTGCCTTGAAGGTCGAGCCCAAGGACACGATCTTCGCTAAGATCGTGGATGGCACCATCCCCGCGAAGAAGGTCTTCGAGGACGACACGACGATTGCCTTCCATGACATCGCTCCCCAAGCGCCCACTCACATCCTCATCATCCCCAAGAAGCCCATCGGCGGTACCGCCCCTTCTCTCTCTGCAAAGCGTTAATCGTTTACTCACAAATTCGGACTCAATCGTTGCTACGTGCAGGAATTGGAGACGTGAAGCAGGACGAGGAAGCGCTCGTGGGCCACCTCATGTTCGTGGCTACCCAAGTGGCCCGCGAGCAGGGGCTGGGCGACGATGGCTACAGACTGGTCATCAACGAGGGCACCAATGGACAGCAGTCCGTCAGGTGGCTCCACATCCACCTCCTCGGCGGCCGCAAGCTCACCTGGCCTCCCGGCTAACACGAACACCCACCCTTGCGTTGACAGAATGCACATACATTCGTTCTGCACCACTCATGGTTTATGTTCACGGGGAGGCATCGAAGAGGAGGCGCACTGCTCGATAGCGTCGAATAGGCCAAGAGCGCAGGGCGAAGAGGCGGTGGCGCTGGGCGGCGCGCCGAAAGTGTCGGTCAGGGCCTTGGCCGTGGTGGGTCCGATGGCGGCCATTCTGGGTGCTCCATCTCCACCATTCTCCTCTTCTTCCTCCTCCTCAGCGCCGCGCTTGTTCAGCTCCTCGTGGATGGCCTTCACTCCGGAGGGACTGAAGAAGCACATCCAACCCACCCGTTGCTGCTGCTGTGCGCCGCGCGGCTTCCCAGAGAAGGCCAGGTCGGGCGGCAGCGAAGGGCTGGTGACCGTCTCATACACCTCGAGTTCATCGAACGCGATACCTGCCTGTACAGCCCACTCATGCACGTGAGTGATGGTGAGCAAGCAGGGGGTGTCCGACACCGAGCATCCACCAGATCGATCTCAACGCACCCCCTTTAGAGCTGTGGGCAGTTCGGATCTCCGTATGTTGCCGCAAAGGTAGAGGAGCGGGGGTCGGTCATGCCCCAGGGCCTCCATCTCTCGGGCGATCACCGCGGCGAGTTGCTGTCCGTTCTCTGCTGTTGATATCGCTGGCCTGATGGGGAACGCAGTGAGCGCCAGATCGGTGCACAGGTGGGCGAGGTGGAGGGATACACGAACAATCGTTCATAGCCAGCAGATCGGAAGGTGACACTGAGCTTGTCGGCCGTTTGCGGACCGACGCAGAAGAGCTTCTTCTCCTCAACCCATGCTCTGAGCTCGTCTGGAGTCACGCCACACACATCAACGGCCTATGGCGTGCGTGAGCAATATCCTCTAGGATAGGGGGTGGTGTGTCCATGCGTACGTGTACGGCCTGCTGGCTGGTGACGACCAGGCCGCTAAAGCGCTCGGCTTCCTGCAGGGCCTCGCGCAGCTTCTCCTTGCCGTCTCTGCCCGTACGAAAGGACAGCACCGGCACAAACCGCACGTCGTAGCCTCGCTTCCGCCCCTCCTGCACCGAACGTGGTTGGTACACCGCACAAGTACGCAGCCGTACCTGTCGTGTGACGACAACAGAACACGAGTATGCGGCACCTGAAAGTAGAGGTCATCTTCGAGGGGTTCGCTGGAGCTCTTGAAAAGCACGACGGTGACCCTGCCGGCAGCCTCGGCCAGCGTGTTGTCCATGTTGATGATTTTATTGGTTTTTCCTTTTTCTTTTTGAGTTTTTAGTAAAGAAAAGAATGTGTTTATGTTATTAGTTGTTTTGATGGAGGCGAAGCAAGCCGCTGCGGGCACAGGACCACGGC